CTTTCTTTTTTTTTTTTTTTTTTTTTTTTTTTTTTGAAACCTCGATTCTATTTGTCGGGGCTGCATCTCTCCCTGTCTTCTTACTGGCTTCTACTTTTTTTCTTTCTTTTTTTTCATTTCATTTTCTTTTTTTTTTTAATTTTCTTTTGGCTTTTAAAACCCTGCTCGCTTCGCGAAGTCCATGAATGATGCTCGCAATCCCCTACGTGCCCCTACCTCCCCCCCGCCTACCTCTTTTCTCCTCCTCCTCCCGCTGTTTCTCCCTTCCTCTCTCTCTCCTCGTCTTTTTTTTCTCTCCCTCCCATTCATCCCTGGGCTCTATTACGCTATGATGGGGGGCCAAGTCCCACTAGCAGCGTTGAGCTAGCTCAACGCCTAAATCTGGACGCTTTTGCGGAGACGTGCAGAAATGGTGTTGAGTTTCCTAAACTGCACGTCTCCACAAACACGTCCAGATTCAGGCGTTGAGGTAGCTCAACGCTGCTACTGGGACTTTGCCCCGGGTCAGAGGTCCGACTGATGCTAGGCTTATGCTGGGGACGTACGAACCTGGTCGCTATTACGGCCACGTTATGCTTTAACAAATATGAACCTAGCACCGGTGGGCCCTGCCCCTCAAAGACTTTTGTTTCGCTCCGCACATCTTTTATTCATTTGCTGCGTTTTCTTTTTCGCTTTCATCCATCCCTTCGATAGATATACTGATGAGTCGGTGAAACTCCGACGAAACAGTTTGTCACAGCCCCTCGTTTGTTGTCCTCTTCTCTCTCTCTGCCTACGGTTTACCGTCGGCAGTTCTATTTGTGACGATATATATGACGATATATATATATCGTCAAATAGAACTGCCGACGGTAAACCGTAGGCAGAGAGGGAGAAGAGGACATATATATATCGTCATATATATATATATCGATATATATATATATATGTATATATATCGTCACAAACAGAACTGCCCGGTATATATATATATATATATATATCGTCATATATATATCGTCAAATAGAACTGCCCGGTAAACCGTAGGCAGAGAGGGAGAAGAGGACATATATATATATATATATATATATATGTATATTTTTAAGTCATCACACCAATCGCTTTCATCCATCCCTTCGATTTTTTTTTTTTTTTTTTTTTGAAGTCGTTACTAATAAACTAGGGACTAGGGAATTGCGTCCGTTTTTGTATGTTTCGAAAACCTTGGGCAAGAAGAGAATAGCAACCGGGCAAAAAAAAAAAAAAAAAGGAAAAAAAAAAATTCAAAGAGGAAGACGCCAATCAATCGAATAAACTTTTTTTTTTTTTTCACTTCCTGCACGTTCCTTGGATGTCTTCTCTTCTCTCCTCTCCTTGGCTCCTTCTTTCCTTCTCTCCCTGCTCCCCTTTCTCCCTCCTTCTATCGTCCGTGTCCCATTCTCCCATTCTCCATCTTTAAAAGGTTATCCTCTAAAGCTGTAAGCCAGTGTCAGGGCAATCCCAGTGGCTTCATCTTCCAGAGAGAACTCTCATTATTAGGTGGCTATGGCTGGACTTTTGGTCTTCAAACTCTTTAACTCTTGTATATATTTTGGAGACGAAATGAGAGTTGGAGTCCATAGCCGAGCTATGGCTGCACCGTGCCAAGCCAAGCCATAGCTCGGAGATGGTGAGTTTGGAATTCATGTCTCGGCTTCAGATACTATGACAGCATCTCAGGGGTCGATCAAAAGAATCGAATGCGCGACCTCCCTCTTGGGAGCCAAACACTCAACCAATCCGCTAAGTGGACTGCGGCAAAAGTTAAGCCCCGAGATGCGCACTTAACCCCACGCCCGACCTCCCTCTTGGGAGGCAAACACTCAACCAATCGGCCAAGTGGACTGGGGTGAAAGTTAAGCCCCAAGATGAGCACTTAACCCCACCCCAGCACGGATTTCTCGGCGACCAGGTGTACCCACCCACTGGCAGTCACACACACTCAACCACAGGCCCTGTGCATGTTTTTTTTTTTTTTTTTTTTTTTTTTTTTTTTTTTTTTTTTTTTTTTTTTTCCGGTGAAAAACTTCAAAAAAGACATTGAGCATAGTAGTAGAATATTTCTCTCCCATGTTTTGGTTATGGGCTCTGCTTGAATGGTCAGTCGTCGTGTTGACTCTGCTGGCTCGTTTATCCTCCTTGTAACCTCCACTGGAAAGTAGGAGAGAGAAATTCAATGGGGAGAGTACTATTGGCCCTGAGTGTTTACCAGTCATACTGTGTCTTAGCTTTTTTTTTTTTTTTTTTTTTTTAACCACCAGTACTTGGCCCCTACATCGGCCGCGGGCTTCGGGGTACTACCGGACCGCAATGGCTGGAACCGCCAGCCAAAACAAATTGAAACGGTACCCTGGCGCTTCGGCAAAAATTGGCGCGCAGGGGGATTCCAGGCTCGGAATCGATAGCTGGGCCAAGTACTGGTGGTTTAAGGTGGGGGATACTAATTATGGGAAATGGTTTTCAACAGAGCCGTAAATTTTGGCCTAAGGGTATTTTCATCGTCTTTATAACAAAAATCCCAACATTTTAACCCAAAATTGTCAACGATCCGTAGAATAAACTGAACAAGAATTATACCAACAACAACAAAAGAAAAGCTGGAAAAAAAAACAAAAGTCCAAAGGAAACTTAAACCCCAATGCCAAAAAAAAAAAAAAAAAACCTAAAAGTTAAGACCCCAAGGCAAAAAAAAAAAACAAAATAAACAATAAAAAAAGGCAAAGGTGTGTTTTCAACTTTTCAATGTTTTCATGCAAAATTCGCCCCGGCCACCTCGTTTGCCCGGGCCACCTCATTTGCCCGGGCCACCTCGTTTGCCGTGCAAGGACCATAGAAGGTCCCAGCAAAAAACAAAAAGGAAAAAAATTCCAAAATTTTGGAAAAGAAATTGGAAAAAAACTTACGCTATGCAGGAAAATAAACTGAAAAACTTTTTCCTCAGGGTCACATCGAAATCGTGTACCAAACTAGGCTACCAGCCGGGCCACCCGGGTCCCGGGTGGCCAGCCCGTGCAAGGACAAGGGCACGTCCCAGAAAAAAAAAA